AAAATTTTAGCCAATCAAAATGCAGTATTTATAATCAGGTAGGGGGGAGGGGTAGCCTCTTAGTAGCAAAATATCAGGTGATAAATGGCCCTCCCCTAAATGCATAACCTCTTTAAATGCATATTTTTTCAATTTTTTACTATAGTTCTGATGCTATACATTTAGAGAGGTCTAACTATATAAATATTTATATATAAAAATTTTATTTTTATTTTTTTAAAAAACTATTTATAATAAATTTTTTTGATTTAATTACTGTACCATACTGCTTTTAGTATTCCTCTATTTAATACTCCCTTCAAATAATACCCAGATATATTATACAAAAAAATCTCAAAAAAATCATATAAGATCTAGATATTAAGATTTAATAGATTTAATTAAAAATTATTGAATCATAATACAACAATATCACAGTACCCTCTAGCTTGTATACCCACTTTTGGTTAAGTACCCAGGGGTATATTTCTATATATAATATCCTTCTTTTTGATAAGACCCAGATACTAAAGGCAGTGTGATACCATAAGTTATAAAAATCAAAAATTAACTTTGATTAACTTTATATTATTTTTATTTTTTTAAAAAAATATTGCTAAAAAATTTTAATATTTTAATTTTTAAAATTGTTAATTTTTACTAAAAGAAAATTTACTAGAATACTATATCACAAAAATATACTGGTTATATATTTTAGAAATACTAAGCAAAAATAGTTAAAACTTTTAAAAATCTAATTCTAACTAAAATTTATTTTAAAAAACTATACTCTAATTTAAAAAAAATAAAAAAATAAAATTTATTTAATTAAATAAAACTATTTTTTAAAAAAAATTAAAAATAAATTTATACCAAAATTTTAACTGAATTTTTTCTAAAATTATTTACAATTTAAGAATAGTAAATTATGATAAATACAAGTTTTCAATTTACTATATTTGGGCTAAAAAAAAATTAACAAAAAAAAGATTTTTCAAAAAATCAATTTTATACAAAAAATTGCAAATATTGAAAAGCTATATTGCAAAATATTGTGTTTTAAATAAAAAATAATTCTGATCTTATTTTAAATTAATTTATATAAAAAAATTGATTTTAAAAAATTTGTTAATTTTGCCTTTTTTGCAGCACCTTAGCTCATCTAGATTTTTTTCAAATCTATAATAAATTCTAGAAACTTAGAACTGATTTAAACAACTTGTAATTCATCTGAGATATGTAAATATTGTATACACACTGCGTTGTGCTAATGCTGTAAGGTAGCTACAAAAAAATTTGACTCCTCAAATCTTTACTAGAGCGCTAAAGCCGAATAGTATTTTATGTTGATCATGTGATTTATTTTACTCAGCTTTAGCATATCCAAAAGAAATTAACGATTCTACTTTACACATAATATAATAATATTAATGCTTTGTTTAATCACAATTTCGAATAAAAGATTTAATAAATTTCATCAAATGGTCGTGTGTCGTTAAAGCAACTTTCAAAAACTTCATTAACCACTTTTTCTGCTACACCGGGAGCTGAACAAGACGCGTTCTTCTGAACAGAAAGTATAGCACGTCTCTTTGCACAAGCCTTTATGTTAAAACAATAACATTGCAATTACGCAAGATATTTAAAGAAAAAAAAATAAATACACAAAATGTAAATTAATTAGCATGTATTTATGAACCTGATGTTGTTTCGTAAAGTTAAAAAATCCACGTTTAATTTCACGCGACCATTTACAGTCACCACTCAAAGCTGCAGCTCGAACCTATTTGCAGATAGTAAAAAAGTATTATATAATTACAATTTCAATAAAGGACAAGAATAACAAACCTCACTACACGCATGGTGGTAACAACTATTCCAATCCACTTTAAATCGACAGTGATCGTACAAATGTATCATTTCGTGTACCATTGTATCTTCTATATGACGTTTACTATAAAATCGGTTTTGACACAGCATTATACCGTGATCAGGAGAAAATCCTCCGCTTCGCGTATTATCACATGGTAGGCATTTAAAATGTTTTTTATCTGGTTTACATCCTGCGTCCTCTAAATTTTTTAGCATAAAAACTACAATTGCGCCTAGAAATTAAATCAAATAAGTTAGTCCTTTTAACTTTAAACAGAAAAGAAAAATGTACTCAACCACATACTACTTTTCATTAAGTCATCCCGCCATTTTTCACACTTTTTATGCTGATAATCACTTATTTTTCTTTCTAATTCTATTTTGTATTCAGTCTTTTCTTTTTCTGATAAACCTAAACCTGTAATATACATTAAACTTTTTCGCCATTTTTCGAATTTTTTTTCATTTTTACTTTCTTCTAATAAATCAATGGGCTTTTCGGATTTTATGGGTATTGAATTTGTTGGGATATTTTTTTGCGTTTCTTCAGAATTAATATCAAAGGACATTATTAAAAATTTGATGGACATCTGACTTCTAATCTAAACTTTTTTTTTTTGTTGCGATCGACACTATTCATAAGAGATCGTAGTCACGAGTAATATGTCCGACTATAATTAAATTTTGTATGCTATAGTGCATACAAGCTAAAGACGGATTGTTACACGAACCTGTTTCAAATTTTAAAATATGCATCCGGCCTTAAAATTTTAGGTTCGGAGCCAATCAAATTGCAAAATTTTGT